TCGGGCTCTAGGGCGAGTCTCCTCCTCGGGCTCTTGGCGAGTTCCTGGTCCTCGGGCTCTTGGGCTCTTGGGCGAGTTCCTGGGTCTCCTCCTCGGGCTCTGGGCGACTTCATGGGTCCTCCTCGGGCTCGAGTTCCTGGGTCTCCTCCTCGGGCTCTTGGGCGAGTTCCTGGGTCTCCTCCTCGGCTCTTGAGTTCCTGGTCTTCTCCTCTCTTGGGCGAGTTACTGGCTGGGTCTCCTCCTCGGGCTCCTGGTCTCCTCCTTGGGCTCTTGGGTGAGTTCCTGGGTCTCCTTGGGCTCTTGGCGAGTTCCTGGTCTCTCCCCAAAGTCCCCAAAGTCCAAACCTCTAGACCCGACTTCCTGGGTCTACTCCTAGGCCTCTTGGGTGAGTTCCTGGGTCTCCTCCTCGGGCTCTTGGGCGAGTTCCTGGGTCTCCTCCTCGGGCTCTTGGGCGAGTTCCTGGGTCTCCTCCTCGAGCTCTATGGCGATTTCCTGGGTCTCCTCCTCGGGCTCTAGGGCGACTTCCTGGGTCTCCTCCTCGGGCTCTTGGGTGAGTTCCTGGGTCTCCTCCTCGGGCTTTTGGGTGAGTTCCTGGGTCTCCTTCTCGGGCTCTAGGGCAATTTCCAGGGTCTCCTCCTCGGCTCTTGGGTGAGTTCCTGGGTTCCTGGTCTCCTCCTCGGCCTCTCGAGTTCTGGGTCTCCTCGGGCTCTTGGGTGAGTTCCTGGGTCTCCTCCTCGGGCTCTTGGGCGAGTTCCTGGGTCTCCTCCTAGGGCTCTAGGGAACTTCCTGGGTCTCCTCCTCGGGCTCTTGCGAGTTCCTGGTCTCCTCCTCGGCTTGGGCGAGTTCTGGGTCTCCTCCTCGGGCTCTTGGGCGAGTTCCTGGGTTCTCCTCTCCTCCTCCTCGGGCTCTTGAGCGAGTTCCTTGGTCTCCTCCTTGTGCTATTGGGTGAGTTCCTGGGTCTCCTCCTCGGGTTCTTGGGCGAGTTCCTGGGACTCCTCCTCGGGCTCTAGGGTGAGTTCCTGGGTCTCCCTCGGCTCTTCGAGTTCCTGGTCTCCTCTGCTCTTGGTGACTTCCTCTCCTCGGCTCTTGGGCGAGTTCCTGGGTCTCCTCCTCAGGCTCTTGGGTGAGTTCCTGGGTCTCCTCAGGCTCTAGGGCGAGTTCTTGGGTCTCCTCGGGCTCTTGGGCGAGTTCCTGGGTCTCGTCCTCGGGCTCTTGGGCGAGTTCCTGGGTCTCCTCCTCGGGCTTTTGGACGAGTCCCTGTGTCTCCTCCTCGGGCTCTTGGGCGAGTTCCTGGGTCTCCTCTCGGGCTCTTGGGCGAGTTCCTGGGTCTCGGCTCTGGGCGAGTTCTGGTCTCCTCCTCGGGCTCTTGTGCGAGTTCCTGGGACTCCTCCTCGGGTTCTTGGATGACTTCCTGGGTCTCCTCCTCGGGCTCTTGGGCGAGTTCCTGGGTCTCCTTCTCGGGCTCTAGGGCGAGTTCCTGGGTCTCCTCCTCGGGCTCTTGGGCGAGTTCCTGGGTCTCCTCCTCGGGCTCTTGGGCGAGTTCCTGGGTCTCCTCCTCGGGCTCTTGGGCGAGTTCCTGGATCTCCTCCTCGGGCTTGGGTGAGTTCCTGGTCTCCTCTCGGGCTCTTGGGCGAGTTCCTGGTCTCCTCCTCGGCTCTTGGGGAGTTTCCTGGGTCTCCTCCTCGGGCTCTTGGGGGAGTTCCTGGGCTCCTCCTCGGGCTCTTGGTGAGTTCCTTCTCCTCGGGTCTTGGGCGAGTTCCTTGGTCTCCTCCTCGGGCTCTTGGGCGAGTTCCTGGGTCTCCTCGGGCTCTTGGGCGAGTTCCTGGGTCTCCTCCTCGGGCTCTTGGGCGAGTTCCTGGGTCTCCTTCTCGGGCTCTTGGGCGAGTTCCTGGGTCTCCTCCTCGGGCTCTTGGGCGAGTTCTGGGTCTCCTTCTCGGCTCTTGGCGACTTCCTGGGTCTCCTCCTCGGGCTCTTGGGCGCTGGGACTTGGGCGAGTTCCTGGGTCTCCTCCTCGGGCTCTTGGCTCCTGGTCTCCTCCTCGGGCTTCGCGAGTTCCCTCCTCGGGCTCTTGGGCGAGTTCCTGGGTCTCCTCCTCGGCTTGGCGAGTTCCTGGGTCTCCTCCTCGGGCTCTTGGGCGAGGGTCTCCTCCTCTCTGGGCGACTTCCTGGGCCTCCTCGGGCTCTTGTGGGACTTCTGGGTCTCTCTCTTGGGCGGGGTCTCCTCTTCCTTGGGCGAGTTCCTGGGTCTCCTCGGCTCTAGGGCGAGTTACTGGGTTTGGGCGAGTTCCTGGGTCTCCTCTGGGCTCTTGGGCGAGTTCCTGGGCCTCCTCGAGCTCTTGTGGACTTCCTGGGTCTCCTCCTCGGGCTCTAGGCGACTTCCTTGGTCTCCTTCTCAGGATCTGGGCGGTTTCCTCAGCATTCTTTTGAAAGGGTAGTCGAGGATATGAATTTGGATCCTGTCGGCCACATCCAACGCTTTGAGGAAATCGTTGAGAAATTCTACAGCGAGACCATCGACATCGTCGTTCTCGAGTTCCTTGGTCTCTTCGGGCTCTTGGGCGATTCCTGGGTCCTCGGGCTCTTGGGCGAGTTCCTGGTCTCCTTCTCGGGCTCTTGGGCGAGTCGAGGGCGAGTTCCTGGGTCTCCTTCTGGCTTGGGCGACTTCCTGGGTCTCCTTCTCGGCTCTTGGGCGAGCGACTTCCTGGGTCTCCTCCTCGGGCTCTTGGGCGATTTCGGGCTCTTGAGCCTGGGTCTCCTCCTCGGGCTTTAGGGCGAGTTCCTGGGCCTCCTCCTCGGGCTCTTGGGCGAGTTCCTGGGTCTCCTCCTCGGGCTCTTGGGCGACTTCCTGGGCCTCCTCGGGCTCTTGTGGGACTTCCTGGGTCTCCTCCTCGGGCTCTTGGGCGACTTCCTGGGGTCTTCGGGAGGGCGAGTTCCTGGGTCTTCCTCGGCTCTAGGCGAAGCTCTTGGGCGAGTTCCTGGGTCTCCTCCTCGGGCTCTTGGGCGAGTTCCTGGGCCTCCTCGAGCTCTTGTGGGACTTCCTGGGTCTCCTCCTCGGGCTCTAGTGCGACTTCCTTGGTCTCCTTCTCAGGATCTTGGGCGGTTTCCTCAGCATTCTTTTTGAAAGGGTAGTCGAGGATATGAATTTGGATCCTGTCGGCCACATCCAACGCTTTGAGGAAATCGTTGAGAAATTCGAGGAATACAGCGAGACCATCGACATCGTCGTTCTCCCCGGCCTTCTGAGCGAGCGCCCTCAATTGATTGGTGATACCGTTTTGGATCCTCATCCTTTTTGGCCTCGTTCAACCGTTTGAGCAGATCGCTGAGGAAGTCTCGGAGCCGGTCGAGTCTTTCGTCACAGTCCTTGTCGGTGACTTCCTGGCTCTCCTTCTCGGAGACACACAGACACACGCACACGCACGCACACACACACACACACACATAAATAAATATAAATAAATATATATATATATATATATATATATATATATATATATATATATATATACACACACTATATATATAATATATATATATATATATATATATATATATATATATACATATAGCATCATATTATTGCAATCATAGCTTACCGGAGAATCGTGAGAGAAGGGTATGTAGAGAAAAGCCAGTGCTTTCAATCAGGCAGGAGAGCAAGCCATCAAGTCCTCTCGGCTTGGCAGTCAGGGTAGGAAGTCCTTGTCCTTGCCTTGCTACTCTCAAGGCGACGCGCTCACGCTGTCCCCGGATTGCCACTCTCCCATTCAGCCTTGTTTCTCTCGGTAGTTACACCACTATCGATGTGCTCATTCGTTCTCCAGCGTCTACCACTTCCGTGCGATCACATTACGATGAAATGCCACCACTGATGAAGTCTTAAATGCATAATGAATAGACATATAAACATCCATCCACTCCCGCGTACATCCGAGCTAATTGTAGTCATTGGGTTGTTTGCCCAATTAACATTCGCACCTCATTCATACTCCACCGAACCTTTTATAATCTTCTCTTCTCTTTCCTTCCTTTCACGTTTCCTCCCCTTACACACGCACGCACGCACACACACACACACACACACACACACACACACACACACACACACACACACACACACACACACACACACACACACACACACACACACACACATATGACACGCTATCACATCGGCACCGGCGCTACCTCGCTCTGCGCAATTACCGTACTCAACATCGCTCGGAGGAATTGCTGCTACACCGAGGCCGCCGACAGGCAAGCATGCCGAGGTCCGCGGCGCTGATTGGCTGCGACGCGAGAGATAAGGATGCAGTCGTCAGCCAATCAGGACACTCAGCCACAGACGACCCAGCAGTGTTACTTTGCCCCTTTTGTATTTACACTGCATTTCTCGCCAAAAATACACACACTTCACTGTCTTCTCTGCAACTTGAGTTTAATTCTCCTGTCTGCTCAGGGCCTAGGGCTCTCAATTACCTCGCCCTTGGCCTCTCTACACACACACATACACACACATAGCCCCCCCACGCACGCAGATATATATATATATATATATATATATATATATATATATATATATATATATATATATATATATATATAAATGATATATATATATATATATATATATATATATATATATATATATATATATATATATATATATATATATATGTACATATTTTCTGTACGTATGTTTTCGCATACAACTCTACGTCTTTGAAGAGGCTCAGCGATAAGAATTACCCTTACTCACAAGAGGCCTACCTGAATTCTCGAAGTAGTCTATCATAAAAACAATACCGACTATACGACACTAAAATAAAAATAAAAGTCATATGCACAGCGCAGAAGCATATGCCTTACCTGACCTTGAAATGTACATAACTGTATGAACATGTATTTTTTTCTAAATATCATAAAGGAATTTGATCGATAGAGACTGAAGCTAGTACAAAGGGATCATCAGATAAGGTTTTACGTTAGTGTTGCTCTGGCTGTAGAAGCGGGAACAGCGAGAGATGGGGATTTGTACGCACTCTCGATATGCAGGTCCTTTGTTCAGGTAAATGGCTGTTTATTCTTTCTAAGTAATGTTGGGCGGACTAGGGTTTGCTGCATATCAAAATCGGTTCAATTTGCTGAGAAATTCGGTATATTTCTTCCCTAATGTAACTTAAAAGCGAAGACATTTACCGACAGGGGCAACACTTCAAAATAAACTAATTTTTATTGGAGCAAAGCCCAAACTGAACTGTTCATATAAACGTGTTCAAATAAGATTATTTTTCTTTGGAGGAAAGACTGAAGAGAGTCAGGGATAAAAAGGATTTCGTATTCACTGTGACACGTAGAAAAGATCTGGATGAGATAGAATATCTCCACATCACAAAAAATATATTTTGCCGGTTTCGAATATATCTTTGTCAGAAATACATGGAATGCATGAACCGGTTAAATACATATATCGTGTTGCGAAGATATTTATTCCCATTCATACCTTTTCTACAAGAAAGTATTTCGCTTTTTTGGAAGGGAAGTCTGAATCGAAGAGATATATTCATATCTACTTTTTCTTTATCCCCCTTTTTTTTTGCTTTCGCTACGGGTTTTTATTTTTCGTTTTTTTTAGATATTTATATACCATTTTATGTACCATATACCGTTTTCTTTTTCTTTTTTTTAGATATTTATATATTATCATTTATACTAGTCTCTTATTTCTACTAACGAAACAATGATCCTGGCATTGGTCTCAGGCACCGTAGGGGAGAATTCACCCCCAAGTGCCATAGAATGCCACTACACGGTGTTGTGCGTCGTAACCCAGTGGTAACAGCATGTGTGTTTTTTTTAATTTTTAATTTTAATTTTTATTTATTTATTTCTTTTTATGCCGGGATTCAGGGAAAACGGCCCTTGATATTACCATTGTTACCATAAATAACAACAACAACAATAATAACAATACTGTTGCTACTGTTATTAGTACTAATGATAATGATGATAATAATAACAATAATAATGATAATAATGATAACAACGACAATAATAGTCATGAAAATAATAATATGAATTAAAATGTTATCATTATATCCGTTTTATCTTCAAGGTCATCATAGCAATGTTCACTGTTATACTACAAGGGAAATGTAAATGGGTGTTAAATAAATCTGTAAATATCTAAAGGAAGGATATTTAAAAACACCTTTTTTATTATTTCAAACAATTACTTTCTACGTTTAGTCTTGTTTAATGATAGCTTCACTCGACTGGACTTTCGTCATTATCAGTTTTTGTTCCAAATATTCCGGTTACCATTTCTTGTGCCTTCTATTGATCAAGGTCTATATAAGTACTTATATACTTAAGTACTTATATAGACCTTGCTATTGATCGCCTTGAATTCCATACTTTTACGAGTCGAAGTAAGATTTTTTCCCCCCTATTTTCGCAATAATGGCATCCGTCTGTACCTCTGCGAATGGGAATTTCATTCACCATTTCCTGTTAAGTGGCTCAGTCGGTTGTGACTTTGGTAACTTTGGCAATGTAAGTTTCTCCTTCAAGAAATCGTTTTGATTCAACATATTCAGTCAAGGCGAGTACTAACATCAGTTCTTTGTTAAGCTCGTTCATTATATATATTCACACACACACACACACACACACACACACACACATATAAATAAATAGATAGATAAATAAATAAATAAATATATATATATAATAATAATGATAATAATAATAATAATAATAATAATAATAATAATAATAATAATAAACAGGAGGATCAGGACAGCAGGAAACCACGTCATGCGTATATTCATTTATTTATTGAGCTTTCGGACATCATCAGAATCTGTATGTAAGAGAAATACAAATTATCTACACTAATATTGAATATATAATTACAAAGGCATATAGGAATAAACAAACAAAATGGAAATAATAGTAAAAGCAAAAAATGTAAAACACAAGTTGATTACCTTACCAACATAGGACATAAGAAAGGGATATTGGGCTTACGTATTTTCTCCGTATGTGTAGTGTGGAGTATGTGTCTTTGTCATGTTGACATGACAGCAGTTTGCGGAGGTTTGAATGTCTGGATGTCCGTTGTGAGTGGGGGAGTGGGGGTGTGTGGAGGGGGTAAGGGGTAACCTGTGTAACTTATTTCAGTGTATATAGAGTAACTGAGCTTTCATTATTATTTGTCAGGTTTTATTTCTTTGATCAGTAATGCTTCTAAGATTCTTAAATCTATTATGTCTGGTGTTTTTCTCATTATTGAAAAATCCTCGAGTTTTACTTCATGATTTGTTTTAAGTGAATGATCCCGGATAAGTGAGTGCATGAGAGATAATAGCGGGCGTTATGTCCGATAAGAGACTCCTTTGTGCTCGCAATATCTCATCTTTAGATTCCTTGATGTTGAACTATATATCTAGCGTTACAGCTCGAACATTTGTACGAGTACACTATGTTTGAGCACAGATGCTTAGGGAAAGGGTCTTTTGTCGGAAAGAACGAACGAATAGATCTGGAATTTGTGAAGATCATTCTGAAATTGATTTGTGGGAAATGGTTGCTTAGTAGTTTCTGTAGTTGTTTTCGTAAGACAAAGCTTGTGTGTCCATAGTATGGTAGTTTAAGGTATCGGATATCCCGAGGGACATTGTAATTCATTGGTCTTGGACAGAGCATCTTATTTAAGAATAACATTTGTTTTTGGATAACGCATTGGAAATCTGTTTTTCAAAAAGAAGGTTTCTAAGAATTGAAGTACTCTGTTAATAGAATGCCAGTCTGAACAAATATGAAAACATCTGTACAACAAAGTTCTGATAGCATTGATTTTAAACATCATAGGTAGAAAGGATAAATAATTTAAACCACCACCAGTGAAGGTAGGTTTTCTATACACGGAGGTTTTAAAGGTTTTATCATCACGTTCCAGCCTGATATCCAAAAAAGACATAATCTAAAAACATGTTTACATGTGAAACATCATTAAACAATAGTAATACATCATCAACAATAACTTTTATACATTATTGGTTTAAAATGCGATGGGCAGTCTGCTAACCATTTACTCTCGTGATAGCATAAAACGCGTTTGCGACAGTTGGGCCTAGCGGGCTTCCCATTGCTACACCATCAGTTTGGGAGTACAATTGATTGTTGAACATGAAAATTGAATCTTCCACAGATAATTTTAACAATTTCTTGAATTGGTCTCTCATAAGGTTATGCACATTATCAGTATTCTCAAACAATCTGTTTGTACAAAGATCCATTGTTTCTTTCAAAAGCATGTTTGCAAATAATGACTGTATGTCAAAACTAGCCATTATAACATGGTTTTCAAGACTAATTGTAGACATCTGCTTTGGAAAATCAAAAGAATTTTGGACAGTGTATTCATTGGTATCACTTCCCCTTTCCATCTCCCCTCACCCCTTCCCTTTCCCTCTTTCCCCTCCTCTCCCTCTTACCCTCCTTAACCTCGACCCAGATGCCCCAGAACGCGTGCCAGCTCAGTGCCAGCTAGTGCCAGGCGAGGGTGCCCGAATGCCACAGTTGAGAATTGGCACTAATTTAGCTAGATTATAGTTAAATGTTTTTAAAGCTGACAAGATAGGTATGATTGGCACATCAGGTTTATGAATTTTTGGTAGTCCATATAGCATTCCAGGTGAAGAGCCAGATGCTCTGAGTTGATTATATGTATCAGAGGAAATGCTGTCACTATCTTTCACACATTCTAGCATTCTTTTAAGTTTGTCCTCTAATTGAATGATTTTAGAAAAGGGCTAATTTCATAACTTTTTCAATTTTGTATGGTTTGATAGCAATATGTTTAATTTAGTGACATTCATTTCTCTCCAATATCACAACACCTTTTCCTTTGTCAGGTCTGGTTATTATGATGTTGGGATCATCCTTTAAAGATTTCAAAGCTTTGTATTTGGCTTTGCTAAAAGATGGTAACCAGTGTCTTTTGAAGTCATAGAACGTCTCATTTGCCAAACTGGCAATTTTCTCAAAAACTTTCAGTTTGGCAGATTCAGAGTTGTCAAGATTTTGGCAATTTTAACGGTATGGCAAAGACGTTCAAAGGCTAGAAAGTGGTCAGCAAATGATGGTGATTTTCACGGTAAAGCAAAGTCAAGACCTAAAGATTGTAACTTTGTTTCACCCTCGGATATATATATATATATATATATATATATATATATATATATATATATATTATATATATATATATATATATATGTGTGTGTGTGTGTGTGTGTGTGTGTGTGTGTGTGTGTGTGTGTGTGTAGATAGATAGATAGAGATATTATACATACATACATATATATATATTATATATATGTATAATATCTATCTATCTATATATATATATTATATATATATATATATATATATATATGTATATACATATATAGATTCAATATGTGTGTATGTATATATATGAATGTATGTATGTTTATGTATATATGGATATATACATATATACATATATATATATATATAAATATATATATACTTATACATATATATAGTTGCATATATATATATATATATATATATATATATATATATATATACATATATATAATATATATATATATATATATATATATATATATATATATATATATATATATATATATATATATATATATATATATATATATATATATATATATATATATATTAATACAGGGAGGGAGAAAGGAAAGAGAGAAGAGAGAGGAGAGAGAGAGAGAGAGAGAGAGAAGAGAGAGAGAGAGAGAGAGAGAGAGAGAGAGAGAGAGAGAGAGAGAGAGAGAGAGAGAGAGAGAGAGAGAGAGAGAGAGAGAGAGAGAGAGAGAGAGAGAGAGAGAGAGAGAGAGAGAGAGAGAGAGAGAGAGAGAGAGAGAGAGAGAGAGAGAGAGAGAGAGAGAGAGAGAGAGAGAGAGAGAGAGAGAGAGAGAGAGAGAGAGAGAGAGAGAGAGAGAGAGAGAGAGAGAGAGAGAGAGAGAGAGAGAGAGAGAGAGAGAGAGAGAGAGAGAGAGAGAAGAGGAGAGAGAGAGAGGTAGATAACTAGAAGAAAGAAAGAAAGAAAGCGAGAGAGAGAGAGAGAGAGAGAGAGAGAGAGAGAGAGAGAGAGAGAGAGAGAGAGAGAGAGAGAGAGAGAGAGAGAGAGAGAGAGAAAGAGAAAGAAAAAGAAAGAAAGAAAGAACGAGAGGGAGACAGAGAGACAGAGGGAGGTAGATCAATAGAAGAAAGAAAGAAAGAGATGTAGATAGAGAGATAAAGAAAGAAAGAGCGAAAGAGAGAGAAAGAAAGAAAGAAAGAAAGGGAGAGGTAGATGAAAAGATTTTCATCAAATTTGTTTTGCTTTCTTAAATTGTGGTAATCACAGCATCAACTAGAAGCACTCAGAGAGCGCATACCTCCGCCAAGGCAATAGTGTCACTGACGCAATCGTAATCACACTCGAAAATTTGCATCAAAATCACCTTTCTCAAGTCCACAGGTGACGTCCGTAAACATAACCTCCTTGGCGGTGATAACACCCTTCTTAGTAGGAATAACAAGCACGACAGTAATAACAGTAACAATAACTTGGTTTGTGTTATTATCAGCGGCAAAATACACATAATTACTCGATGTTCTTATCGAAACTATCATTCAAGTTATGCAATATTACTAACGTGTTTCGTTTTTTTCTTCTCCGCACACACACACGCACACATACACACACACACATACACACACACACACACACACGCGCGCGCGCAACACACGCGCGCGCGCGCGCACACACACACACACTCACACACACACGCACACACATACACACCACACACACATACACACGCACCACACATAACAAACAGAAGTGCCTTGTTCTGCTCCTGTTGCTGACGCTGCTGTTCATGGTGACAAGGGACGTGACCCAAAATGCTGACACCATTAGGACACCGGTAAGTTCATGCATGTAAGACTCATATATGAGCATATGTATATGTATATATATACACAAATACACGTGTTTGTTTCCATATGTGTATTTGTATATGTATACGGTGTATGTGTATATAAATGAGTATACGTATATATTTATATATATGTATATGCATATGTATACATACATACATATATATTTATACAGATATCTATATTTCTATATTTTCATATATATGCATAGATACAAGCTATATATATAAATACCATCATCAGTAAGGCCTATTCGGTCTTTCGAAGTTGCGTGGCCCTCTTAACCAGCCTCCTCCGCTTCAAGGTCTATATAAGTACTTCTCAGTACTTATATAGACTTTGCTCCGCTTCACCCTGTCATGTGTCGCTATCTCCGCTGCCACCATTGTCAGTCCGCAAACTTCCTTGTTGTCTACCTCTACCTCTCTCGCTCTCTTTTGCCCATCACCATTCCTGTCAAAAGTACCTTCTCCAAGGAGTCGCTTTTCAAGACATGACCAATAAAATCCAATTTTCTTTTATTCATGACGTTAATTAGGCTGTTTTTTCAGTACTTCTTGCTTTGTTTTCTCTCTCTCCAAATGGTTATCAGTAATCTCCTATAACACCATAAATTCGAAACTCTCAATTCTCTTTTCATCCGTTTTCTTGTGTCCAACATTCGGATCCATAGAGCGCAATGAGGAATGCCAAAGTGTTTCACATTTTTTTCTTCGTTTTATTTGAGATGCCTTTGTTTTTTTTTCCATATGTTAGGACAATTGTGGCATTCTTGGCTATTGCGAGTCTTCTTTTAATTTCTGCGGAGTCGTCATAGTCATCCGTGAAGACAGCTCCTAAATAAGTGATTTTTTTTTTTTTTAACATTTTCGCCAGTTTCTGTTTATTTTTATGTGCGTATCTTCTTGTTTTGATGACTTTTTTTTTGGATTTTCATTACTTTCGCTTTCTTTGCATTAAGGAATAAACCTACCTTTTCGTTTCTCTCGCTGCATCCACCAGCTTCTGCAGCTCTTCCACACTGCCAGCCATCAGTACTACGACATCGGCATACCTTAAGTTCCGTGATTATTATTCCATCAAGTTTTACGCTTCCTTTAATATATTCTTTAAAACTTATCTCGTTATTGTTTCAGAATAGATGTTAAACAGATGAGGGGACAAGATGCATCCTTGTCTAACTCCCTGTTTTTAGTACTTTTAACCTAGAATTATAACATAATGAACTTAAAACCGAGAAAATACCAATTTAACCAATTTTAAGTCACATTACTGAAGTATGTTGGGACCTCGTGTTTGCCTCTCACACTCCCGACGTTAATCTTCTTATCTCCTCCTTTGAAAGATTTTTCCCATTAAAATGTAAGTTAATAAAATCAGAGTCCTTTAAGAAACCATACATTACATGTGAAATAATTTCGGTCTCTACGCAACTGCATAAAACAAGCAATTCGGAAGGTAAAGGCAGATCATTACAAAATGAAGCTTAATCAAAGTGCAGGTGATACTAAGAAGACATGGCAAATTCTAAACGATGTTCATAGAAATAATAAACAAAAATCCGACAAAGTACAAATAGATGAAAAATAAATCAATGACCTTAACGTCATTACAGATGAATTCAACAAATATTTTACAAACATGGGCAAAAATCTATCACGATTAACCCCTAATGTGGAAGGAGACTTTAAAGAATTTTTCGGACCCTCCAACAACACCATGAGCCTGACTCCGATAACAGACAGAGATATCATCAATGTTGTTAATGGCCTTAAAACTTCCTCTCCAGGGGACGACTGCATTCCCATCAACATTATTAAGAAAATACTTCCTTGCATCCTTAATCCCCTGAAACATGTAATTACTATATAATTTAGTATGGGAGTATTTCCCACGAAACTCAAGACTGCCAGAGTTCATCCCATGTTCAAGACTGGATCCCATTGCCTTAATAACTGTCGTCCAATTTCCATACTAACAGCTTTTAGCAAAATCTTTGAAAAAAAATCATGTCCATTAGATTAACTGATTTTCCTTATGAAAATTATATAATCAACAATTGTCAGTATGGTTTCTTGAAGAGCAAATCATCTGAATTAGCGGTTTAAGACTTCACAAATAAAACGATTTTTTTTTTTTGATGGTCGTAAATTTACTGTTGCTACATTCTTAGACCTTTCCAAAACATTCGATATTGTCAACCATCGAATTCTTTTGGAAAAATTATAGCATTATGGTATAAAAGGGAGTGTACATAATTGGTTTAATTCGAATCTGTCAAACCGCACACAGTATGTAGTTTTCAATAACTGCAATTCCTCTAAAGGAACTATCGCTCATGGCGTCCCACAGGGCTCCATTTTGGGACCTATTCTGTTCCTTCTTTACATCACTGATATTGTCAATACGAGCTGTCTGAGCTTCACTCTCTATGCTGATGATACTTGCTGTTAAGCCTCGGGGCACGCCATTATAGATTTAATCAACACCACCAACAAACAGTGAATGGAAGAAGATGAATGACTCTAAACAAGCATAAATCATGCCTCCTGTTTTACCTCATGTCACTGTCGCAAATGTCCCAATCAAAAGGGTTATTCATATTAAGTTCCTTGGGATTCACATTGATTCTCAATTAAATTGGAAAACACACAGGCAATGTAGTATCTAAACTAAATAAACTTTGTGGACTTCTTCATCAACTGCGCAAATATTACTCATGAAAGCCTTGCATCAATTATACTACACATTAGTATACCATTTTATTTATGGGCAAACCATTTGGGGAGCTACATGCTCTACCTCACTTAAACCTCTACATATAACTCAAAAAAGAATTGTGCGTAGTATCTTAGGTCTTAGAAGAAATGATCACACTCACGAAGTCTTCCTAAATCTCGGAATTTTAAAAATAAAGGAAATTAACACTTACTGCTCTGCACTCTTTGATATTAAGTCTAAATTCCCAAAGTAATGACATGTTTTATCACAGAACGACATATATCCCCTAAGAGGCAATGATAAGCTAGATGTTCCATTCAAGCAGTCTGATCAATCTAAATCATATATATTGTATCAAGGCCCATCTCTCTGGAATACTCTCCTTGATGATGTACAGTTGCGGAATTATATTTCGGTACACATGCTGGAACCCACTTTCATACATCTGGCAACCAGTACGATGTAAACATCGAGTAAATAGCATTTCTATGAACGGGGCGAAAATCCTAGGTTGTTTGTAAGACTGAGCGCAATTGGTCGAATAGAAATAACCAATAAGTATGATAGTATCTATTTTTAGAAACGAAGTACGCCATTTCATATTGCCTTCTCTTCAAATAAGTGATTGCAAAACACACAGTATTAGTGGCCGTTGGCTTTGTAGTGGAATACTTTTCAAATGTGACTTTTTGGAATTGTTTTTTGAAATGGCAACACCTATGGGGGGCGTTTCCCCCTTATTTAAACATGATAATTAACAATGATATTTGCATGATTTCTTGAACATAGAAAACGCCTCATACTTCAAACAACTATGAATGACAGCTAAATCAAACAGAAATATGCAAATTCGTTGAGAATGTATCAACTGCTTCTCGGAGCTACACCATCTAGTAGCAGCTAAACGAACTAATGAAATGAGATTTTTCTTTTCGCCGAAACCAGTGTTTCAATAAGTAGAAATCATGCTGCGTTATATCCAGTGATGGGCATAGATACACAGAACTGTCTAAGGCGATACCAATGTATCGATACGAGAAATTTGGCTAAAACGATTCCGATACATTGATTCTTCGAAGACAGTTGAAGCGATACCAATACATGTATCGCCGATACAGCATCATCGATACTTTATTGTAAGAAAATAATGAACCTGATTTACCAATATTTGATTTGGATGACTGATGCACTGTAAAAAGTGTTTTTTCAAGATTATGCGTGGATATTTTGATGAGTTCTACACCACAGTAACAACAACTGGATTATTACAACCGACAGGATCGTAGAACTAAATGCGTTCACTAAGAGAACTCAACCGCCGTTCCTTCATTGCCATTCATTGGCCATAAAGGAGAGAAAGAGAAAGAAGGAGAATGAGAGGAGAGAGCTAGTCAGAGAGCAAGAGAATGAGTTAGATAACGAATAGGAGAGTGGAAGAGAGTGGGGGTGAGGGGAGGGAGTGACAGGCAGAGAGGGAGGGAGGAAGGAAGGAAGAGAAAGAGAGAAGAGAGAGAGCAAGAGAAAGAGAGAGGAGAGAAAAGAGAGAGAGGGAGAGAGAAGAGAGGGGGGGAGAGATAGAGAGGGAAAAGGAAGGTGGGGGAGAGGCAGCGATGGAGAGAGGGAGCGAGAGGGAGAGGAGTGGAGAGATGATGGGACAGAAAGATACGAGCAAGAGGTATAGTGAGAAAGAGAGAGGATAGAAAAATGGGAGGCAGAGACAGACAGAGGTTGTGAGAGGGGAAAGAGAAAGAAAGAGATGGGAGGGGAGGCAGATAGAGAGAGGTAGTGTGAGGCGAAGAGGGAGGAATAAAGAGAGAGAGAGAGAGAAAAATAAATAAATAAAAGGGGGGGCGGTAGAAACAGAGATAGGTAGTGAGAGAGAGGGGTAGAGAGAAAGAAAGAGTAAGGAGGGAGGGAAGGAGAAGAGAGAGAGAGAGAGAGAGAGAGAGAGAGAGAGAGAGAGAGAGAGAGAGAGAGAGAGAGAGAGAGAGAGAGAGAGAGAGAGAGAGAGAGAGAGAGAGAGAGAGAGAAGGAGGGGAGTGATTGAGAGAGTGAGTGAAAGAAAGACGGATAGAGTGAGAAAGAGAGAGAGAGGGGCGGGATAGATAGCGAATAAAAAAGAGGGGGGAGGGAGAGATAGTGAGAGGAAGTGAGTGAAAAAATCATGTTGCGTAACCAATACCAATGTATCGATACGAGAAATAAGGCTAAAACGATAGAGAGGGATAGAGAGAAAGGAAGGGAGGGAAGAAGAGAGAGAGAAGGAGAAAGAGAGAGAGTGAAAGGAAGAAAAAAAAAGATAGAGAGATAGAAATAAAGAGAAAGGAGTGATTGAGAGAGTGAGTGTAAATAATAAAGAGAGAGGTAAAGAGATAGATGAAAAGATGAGTTAGATATTGAAAGAAAGAGAGAGGGGGGAGGAAGGAAGGGAGAGAAAGAGAGGGAAGGGAGAGGGAGAGAAAAAGAGGGGGAAGAGATAGAAAGAAAGAAGGGGGCGGCATTCACTGTATCCCTAGTGTGATTTTGCACTGAGTGAATGTTCTGTGATAAAGATTTTTTTTTTCTTTTTTAGTCTGACTTTGAAGAAAGAAAATTAAGTCACTTTATTTGTTCTATTAGCTCCTTCTCGATAGATTAGGTAGGAAAAGGAAAAGTTGCTAACATCAGTGAATTTGCACATTTCTATTTCATTCAGCTGCCTTACGTATATGTTTATAGAAAGAAACGTTTATATTTGTAAAGAAATGTGCAGTTATAATGCTATATAACTCCAGGAGTTATTTCATAAACTATCAAGATAATATATAAACACATACGCATCCACAGTGATTAGACATGAACTGGCAAACGAGAGAACATAAATTATAGATATGACAAAGAAAAGTAGAGCACAACATGGTATACCCACTCCCTCAGCATGAAAACATACAAGATGCCAGATATCATAAATCCTTAAAGTGAGTAAATTTATTTCCCTCCTTCAAACCATCTAACTTGTAGTTGCTTGACTTGAAACAAGCAAACGTGTATTTACTTGCTCTGCTGTTCGAGTGTGGATGCGTCTCCGCATAGAAACGCCATGGCTTGTAGGATCTTGATAGCGCAAACCATTATCAAGAGATAGCACAAGATAAAGTGCTTTTCTAAATATATACATGCGCGTGCACTGTCCCACTCTATAGAGGGTACAATACATGCAATCTCGCAGACCACGTGCTATCTACTGGTCCCCATGGTCGCCACTTGCAGAGTGCCCACGCTGGTACCCCACGCTCGCTGCCTGCCCTCGCTTCGAGCCACGCTCTTGCTAAATATAGAAGCCACGCCTCTGGCCAGGATAAAAGGGGACCGTGACCTCCCCTCATCCGCGGCGAGTCTAACGCCACCCTGTTACATTACTTGCAGAATTGTGAACACACAATTTCTGAGGCAGGGATCACCCACCACAGCCGCCGGGCTGGTAAATAGGGTCTGCAACATGCTTACTCCGTGGCAGCTGGATCGCTTGCTCGTAAAAACTCAGCCACCACGATAAGCATGCACTTCAAGTAACCAATCCAGAGAAAAGGCCCGGGCGAAGCATGACTTCGCAAATCTAACTGAACTGTGTATTTATACCCAGTGCTTGTAACTCTTAGAAATAAAGAGAACAGCCACTAAGTGTATCACTGACGCCACCTGCCATTCAACTACACTATAAAGTAAAGGTGTTAATACCTCTTATACACTCGCTTCCACTCATTATCTGCCTCTTCCCTTACCCTCTCCTTCCCCCCCCCCTCTCTCTGTATGTGTGTTTGTGTGACTCACACTCACTCTCTCCCTGTCTTTATTTCTCTCGCTCTCTCTCTCTCTCTCTTTCTTTGCGACTCTCTCCTTCCCTTACTCTATCTTTCTCTCTATCCTTCTCTCTTTTACTCTCTCACACTCTCTCACTACCTCTTTCTGTCTCTGCAGCCCCCCTTCTTTCTTTCTCTCTCTCTCTTCTCCCTCTTTTTCTCTCCCTCTCTATTTCTCTCTATCTTTATTTTTTGCATTCACTCTCTCAATCACTCCTTCCACCACTCTCTCTTTCTCTCTGTGACTCTCTCTCTATCCGTCTTTTTTTCTTCCTTTCACTCTCTTTCTCTCTCCCACTCACCATTTCACTCACTTCACCTCACTATCTCTCCCTCCCCCCTATATATGCATATATGTTCATATATGAGTATGTATATGAGTGTATGTGTATGTAGGTATGTGTGTGTATGCGTATGTGTGTATATTTATATCTATACATATAATGTATGTCTCTTATGCTATTACTGCCTGTAATTTCCTCTAATATCATTATGTACAATGTCATTCAGTAATTGTATTATTAGTTTACTTATTTACTTACATTATGTCTCGATTCCTCTTTCTTGTTTTCAATGATTAATAGTTCAAGGGGCCTTCCTAAGGGAGTTTCACTCCTAGAGGGCTCAGCCATACCCCTAGTGTAATATGTTGTATTTTTGTTAATGTATTGTATTTAGCTAAATGAATTATTTGATTCTGATTCTGTGCTGTTGTAAGCCAAACGGTCATTCCGTATGTCATTCGAATAGTCGCCTTTTGTTGATCATAGAGCACTTTTAGCAGTTTTATGGCGTGCATAGGGAAGCTCATATCTTCACGGCGTTCTAGAGAGTAATATGAACCTCTGTGTCGAATGCTTTTTTGTAATCTATGAAACAAATATACAGATCTTAGCCACTTTCTCTGTTTTTGTCTATAACCATTTTTAAATTAAGAATTTGGTTTCTTGTTCCTCTTCCTGGCTTAAAACATGCTTGTTCTTCTGAGATTTCTTCTTTGTTCTTAAACCTTCTTGCTATAGTTTTTAAAGAGAATTTTGCTACTATGGCTTATAAGTGCAATTGTTCTGTTATTACATTAATTAATTTCTCCTTTTTTTGGGATCAGGAGAAACACGGAATTGGCCCAGTCTTCTGGCCATTTTTTCCATTCCAATTTTTTGCACACAGTTTGTTGTAAAACGTGACTCCATGTGCCCGCTTTTCTTTATTAATTCTGCTGTTATTTCATATAGCAGCAGAACTAATTTACTATTAGATGTACGATTCAGATGCTCTGTTAACTCCTGTAACACATGTAAGCTATAAATATGCATGTTTGTGATTCTGTCCCTTTTTCTCTTTTACAAGACGAACCCAAAGATCGACGGCGTGTTAGCAGAGCAGAGAGAGGTCATCGAAAACCACATGAAAGGCTATGTTTTTCACTCTAAGTTAAACGTTAGGTATGTAAGTAAATCACCAGATTTGATGTAATTTTGATGTTATATATTCAAATTGATCTCACTGTAACCCTTTCGTCTGCTTATCTTATTGCTACTATCTTTTGGTATTTGAGTTGCACATTTATTAATGTATTCAGTTATAACGTATCTGAGTTGATCACCAGCGCAGGAAAACACTATTTGAGTTTATCTCTTGATCTTCTATAAGTAGGCTGACGACTCCTACACCCACACCCACACCCACACATCCATGCATTTGCATATATATGTATATTCACACACACACACATACACAAACATATATATATATATATATATATATATATATATATATATATATATATATATATATATATATATATATATATATATATATATATATATATACACATACGTACAGATACACACACATATATATGTATTTACAGATATATATATATATAATATATATATATATATATATATATATATATATATATATATATATATATATTATATATAT